CCACGTATGTGTTGTGACATGCGGTAGAGTGTGTTTCATGATTCATCAGCTGCACCATGATTGATTGGCCCAGCATCCTGGTAGAGCCCAGAAATTTTTTACTTGTCTCCATATGTGTTCCATGATTCTTCAGGCAATCTCTGATTGACTGGCATGTGGGCTGAACCTAGATTTATTTTTTCCCCATGCTCTGAAATATTTGTTTGGTGACTCATCGTACTTACCTATTGACTGGCACATTGGCAGAGTCCAAAGTTTCTTTACAACATAAAATATTGTTTTATGATTTGTCAGATAAATTGATTGTTTCCTGCTGACACTTGTAGATAAATTCTGCTAGTGTGAACTGGAGGGAAGAATACAACCTTCGGCTTACAGGTACTTAGGGCAGTGATGGGGGAATGGGGTCATATTTTTTGGCTAGAGAGAACAACTTTTACTTGAATGTATTGCACTTTTTAAACAGCTGAAAAATCCCTTACCTTGAAGAAACTGTGTTACCAAATGCAAAGTGAGGGCATTATTTTCGCACATTAATTCTTGTTAATATCAGTTTGGTAGCTATGTTGAATAGGACATCCAAGCATGACTAAAAGAAAGGAAGGCCTTATCTAAGCAAAGAGAATAGATTTTTAGTGACAATTTAAATTGTGCCATTTGCCTTGTATCACCAAATCACACCACTGTTCTCTAGCTGGCTTTTAACCATACACACATTACTTGAAAATCAAAGAAGAGATTTTAAAAGCTGTCAACAACTTTCGTGCTGGCACTCCAAAAGGGGAGTGACAACTCCGACTCTCTCTTGAATATTGTAGATAATTATTCTTAGGTCATCCTTTCCCCCACCCCACTGCCACACCTCCCCCCAGATAAATAACATTCATTCACAATTTGTAACTCAAAAAATGATTTATTTAGAATTACATGTCATTGTGTAAGAACTGACTCCGTGACAAAAATTTCTGGGAAGCTGATCTTTTCTTTTGTCTAGGAAGATGGATGCACTTTTTAAAGTTAGGTTTCCTCCCACAGTTATTGAAACACAGAGACTGTCACCTAAAATGTATACCTTATGAACCAGGAAAACTATATACCATACATTTCTACATGGTCTGTGTATATTTCTCCAAACTCTGCCCACACTAGTGTATTTCCACATCTGCAGAAAATATTTTATAGCCTGTTTGGAGTCATTGCAGAACCTTTGTTTTCCAGGCAAAATGAAACCTGAATTGTAGTTGTAACTCTTGCTATTCCAAGAAATAAATATTAGATTTTTATGTTTGCAAGTCCTCTGCCTCATAATTAGCCTATTTTTTTATATCTACTTTAGAATTAAGGAAGGGCATAGATTGAATAAGGTGTCATGCATATCATATAACAAAACTGGTGTTCCTGGAACAATCGATGGAATATATGGAAAGGGAAAAGAGAAAAACAGGGCTTTTGCAATGCAGAGAAATGGAAAAAAGGAACTTGACTCCCTTCTGAGTGGCCTGTAAAATAAAGGCGTTAAAACTTTATGTTATGAGCTGACAAATCATAGCACTGCAATGAAAATCATGGAAGAATTGAAAAGGATGTCTTTTGATGAAAGTCACAACCTAGGTAGTATTAAGCTCTTTGCCAGGAAAAAGAGGCTAAGGGCACTTCATAACTAAGACGACTTCCTAGATTAATCCATCTAGTTTTCCTGGTTGAAGGAGAACCAGTTAATCTTCCTTCTTCTTTCTTCCCTTCCTCCTCTTTTTGTGCAGGGTTTCCTTCTCTGGGCTTGCCTTCAGGCATGTCTGTCACTGGAAAGGGCTACCTTGTTCTTCAGTTCAAATTGCAAAGAGATCAGTCAGAGAGTCAAGGTCTCTTTCCCTCGTTCCCTTTCTCCCTCCTATCCTTCCTCCCAGCCTTCCTCTCTCCGAGTGAATGTTTGCATTTTCATTCCTTGTGACATCATGCAGCTGAGACATCATATGTATCATGAATTCTGGAGGTCTCTAACATTACTGTGGGGTGCCACTTTTGGTTCTTTTATAGTTTTTTTATCAAGAGAGGATTGCTATCAATACCAAGCCAAATGTTTTCTCCTAACCTTGTTTGTATCAAAGAAGTTTACCTAGGTTTTTTAAGAAAGGGGATTAGAAAAATCACTATTTCCTCCTTAATTAACATACTTCTCTTTGGATTTTGGCTTACAATGACTAAACTTTTACTGACTCCTCCGTTCTAAAAAAGAGTCCTTAAATCTTAAATTCCACTGCACAAAAGATTTCATCAACTTATTTACAATTGGCTTTAAAAGTACTAGCTAAATGGAAACTGCAACTGCTTCTTTTAAATGCCTTTTTTTTTCTCTTGTAGGGAAGATCTCGAATGGTGTAAGTCTCTATTCCCCACTTCTTGGCTTATTTTAACATATAGAAATAAATTGATATGAAATAATTAATACAATCCACATGAGAGGGAAGTTGACGGGAATGAAAGCGGAGAACTCAGCTGTGCACTTTTTAAATAACTGGGTTTCAGTTTAGTCCAAGCCATCATTTTTTTTTACCACATTAGGAACTAAAGCCTCAGATGCTATTTATGAATCTGTAGAAATTGAACAAAAAAACAGCCATCATGTCGGGGCCCCAGGACGTGCTCATGTTGCCTACAAGAGTGGTCTAAAAAGACAATGTGTAATATGTAATGTGCACTGATTTGCATCTTGTGAAGTCACTTAAGCACTTGCCAAGAGCTAAGTACTGGTGTGTAAACACTTTAATTTTACTTGGTGTGTTTTTCTGTCATCTTGTACATTTTATGGGCATTTATGACTGTTCAAACAGCAGAAAATTGTTTTCATAAAACCAGAGAAGATTTTGAAGCAGGACTATCGCAAAATCCAAAGTCAATAAAACTGTGGCCAATTGAGTCAGTTTAAAGATACTGTTTGCTAATAGAAGTCTCAGCAAAATTTTTCACTAAAGCCTTCTGTGAATCAGACTGACAGATGTCACCACTGAAATACTGTATTGTATATACTATTTGACTGATACAGTTAATTAAGTCTGTAGTTTAATTTTGTACTTTAATCTTTGCCAGGTTTGAGTTAAAAAGCACAAACAGTTTAGAAATTGTGTATATTGTCATAAAATGTACTTCATACCTTTCTAAACTTCTGCATTTTAACAGAGAAGTAGAACACACAATGGAAACACATACCAAAAAAGATGTCTGTGTTTGTATGCAAAATAGAAAACAATACCAACCCCCAATGTTATACATTACTAGTCCTGCGTATGTTCTACTTAAAAATGGGAAAATAAAATAAGAAAATGGAAATGGAGGCAAATTAAAGCAATTTTGGGGCTTTACTTATTTCTGGTGTTGCCATAGAAGAACATTTCTTGGTTCCAGTGTACTTTCCCATCCGATGAAGAGATGGCTGTAACCCTCTATTTCACGAGAAGCAGCAATGGGCCCTTCAGCTGTCACTGTATGAAAGTGTCATCATGGAGATCTCCCACATTCAGTTTAGTAGCTACAGTTGGGAAGGAGTAAGAGTGGCCACTCCTTCTCCAGGTACTTGCATTTCTCTACTTGCTTCTACACCTCCTGATTTCAAAGAACAGTAAGGTATCTGTGATGTGATTACATACAGATAAGGAATAACAAGTAAGATAGCTGATAACCTACAGGTCAATAATCTCCTGTTCTAGTGAAATCCAGATAAAATCATTGGTTAATTTTTAGATTCTTACAGGAATGTGGTTTGATTTGCAGTTCATTTATACCTGGTCATTCTAAGAAATATTACTCAAAAATAAACAAATCTAGCCATTGCAATGTGAAATAAAATCATGTTATTCTTATACAATAAAATGTATTGTGACGTTGTGGCTTGACAGCTATTGAAGAAGGATCAGACAAAATTATTTTTTGAGAGAGTCTCAGCTGTATAATACTTGGCATGCTTTGTGTTGTATGACCGCCCATGATTGATAGTCTGAGCAGTAGTGCTGGTATTTGTTTGTGTATTCACAAGCGTAAAGAAAGCACAGGCCTGCAGCACTCCTCCCTTTTCTGAACCACGGATACTGTCAGGTGCATTTATGGCTTTGTGTGCCTAGAATCAGCCATTTCTGCCTCTGAGGCCTTCAGGTTGGAGTTCCTCTATTAATAACCTTCCCAAATAATTATTACTGCATTATCACAGGAACTCTGACTCCAGCCCCACATTACACTGAACCTCCATTGAATGTAGTCTATAATTTATAGGTTAGATTTTTATGAGGAAAAAACCAGCTCTATATGCCTGCCCAGAGAGAAAATATTTCTAAACAGCAAACAAAGTAGTATTTTCGTAAAGGCAACACTTCCCAGGCCGCACACAGCAGTGTGCTTCCAGCTACATGTAATTAGTAGCAAAATCCAACAGGTGGCACAAAAGTATTTGAATTTTATATTGATTTAAATCATATGCCGTTAAATTACCAAATAAAGTGGAGAGGGTATTTTTGGTTATTAAAAAAAAAAAGGGGGGGGGGGGGAAGAAGCGTTATCCCGACGCCACGGACGATGCTCGCCTCTTCCGAGCAGCCGGAGGCTGCTCGTTGCCTCTCGGGAAGCCCCAGGCAGCCGAGCTCCGAGCCCCTCTCCCCAGCGCCCCGGGGAGGTGACACGGCACTTCCTTCTGCCCTTTCTCCCCCCGGCGGCAGCGCCTCGGCCGGGGGGCCGGGCGGAGGATGCCCACGCACCTACATAACCACCCATCCACCGTCCACGCCGCCGCCCGCGGGTCCCGGTCTCGGCTGGCGGGCGGGAAGCGGGGCGGGCGCCCTCCGCTGGCCGCCGCGGGGCCGGGAGCGGGGCCGGGAGCGGGGCCGGGAGCGGGGCCGGGAGCGGGGCCGGGAGCGGGGCCGGGAGCGGGGCCGGGAGCGGCTCCCGCCGGCGCCGCCTGCCCGCGGCAGTGCCCGGGGTAAGCGGAGAGGGGAGCGAGGGAAGCTTGCGCTGACCCTGGAGCCCACCCGCCCGCCGTGAATAAATCCACGAGTAAAAATCTTGGGCTTTCAACGCCGCCCGCCAGGCAGCACTAAAGGCGGCTTTGTAGCCCTGAGAAGGTAACTGAGATATTTTTTTTTTTTTTGTGGACTTGTCCTCGAGATTTGTGTGGGGAGGGAGGAGACATGAAGGTTCTCGGGTACCTTTGAAAAGGAGCGTTATAAAGGCACGAGTTACCTGGAATAGTGATATTCAGGAGTTTCAAACGCAGCTCAGTTTTTCACCTTGAAGTGTAGTACACACCACTAAAAGGGGCTTAAAAAAAGAGGGAGGGTGACTTCTTACACAGTGAAATAGTGATAGGACAAGGGGGAAGAGTTTTACATTAGATATGAGGAAGAAATTCTTTACTGTGAGTGTGATGAGGCACTGGAACAAGTTGTCCAAAGAAGCTGTGGATGCCCTATGCTTTGGAGTCTTCGGGGCCAGGTCAGTTGAGGCTTTGAGCAGCCTCGTTTGGGAATAGGAATTGGGACTATTCCCAATAGCGGCCCCTATTGGGAATAGGAATTGGAACTAGATGCTCTTTAAGGTCACTTCCAATGCAAGCCACTCTGTGGTTCTGTGTTTTCATACTATGAACATCAGTTATGGAAATATTAAAATGTTAGTCTGGGCCTTATGAATAGATTCACAACGTAAAGTAAGTTAGGTAATTGCTGTCTTTATTTGCTACTAAAGGACTGTAGTGCATCAGGTGGAGCTTTACTGACATTTTTGTTTCCAAACGTGAATGTAGGAGACATATCAATGGCTTATTCTTATGCAATGGCACCCCTAAACCTGAAATTTAAGTGCAAGTCAAAGGCCAAGAAAAAGTTGGCCAAGATACTTGGCTTGCTGAATTGTCTGAGAGTGAGGCAAAGAAAAAGAGGTGAAAGAGAAGTTGGGCAATTGCCATAAACTAGAAAGGGAGCACTAGTTTTGCATAAATATTTGCAGCAAAGGTCTGTAAGAGACTTACACCTGTGATAAAAGATTTTAATTCATGCCATTTTACTTTACATATTTATTCCTAATTAAACAAAGAAATTGTTTCAGCTTCTTAGTGAAAAGTTCCTCTGCAGGTGCTTGAAACAGATTCAGTTTCCAAGGAACAAACTTGTGATCTCTATTTCTGTGGGACCAAGCTGGAGCAAATCGTGATAGCAAATGGCAAATGTAGTGCCATTAACCAGAAGGGAGCTTCAATTTGAACTTAGAGAGCAATCAAGTCACACCACTAAGCAAATGAAGGAGCTACAGACCTTAGAAGAAACTAGTTCTTAGGATGTGAGACTGGGCAAGTGCTGTGCCCAGGTTACAAAAGACACCTGTAATATCCGTGTTACTGGATTTGCAGGCCATGAAAAGTTCAGAAAAAGATCAACCTAGTAAAAGATTGAGGAAAACCATCGTAGTTCATTTGTCTAAATATCCCATTTTGAAAAAAAGTCAGAACAAGGGAATGTAAAGACTGGAGCTGGAGAAATTAGGTGTTTTCCTATCAAATAGCTTGTCCAGCCGAGCAGATCATAACCTTTGAAAGGTACTGGGCTACCCAGATCTTGTAAAAGTCTGTGAGGTGCCCTTCTGAAACAGGCCCAAGAAAAGCATGACCAAGTACTATTGCTGATGTTTTTGTAGTAATGAAAAATCAAGGGAAACGCCCCAAATTCAGGTATTTGGTCTTTATGTGGAAAACAAAACAAAAAAGAAAATTATCTGGACACAAAAAACAGGCCTATAACTTTGGATAGAGCTGACAATCACGAGTCATGACTTTTCAGATATGAAAAGTCATTCAGTTGTTGGAGAAATTGAAAGATATAAAATAGAAGCAGCAAATAAACTGCAAGAGCAACCCTAAAATTTTAGTTCTGGTCTGGCCAGCTGGAGAGCAGTAACAGAGGTTTGACTGTGAAGTGCACTGGCATGGTGACTCTAGTCGAGGAAAACTGTTAAAAGATATTGTAAAAATAAAATCCAAGGAGTAAACATGTAGGTAATAAATAGAAATTGCAAAATATCAGGTCTCTGAGAGCACCAATAGGCTTTAACTGCTCTAACCAGCCTCACATGGGGCCTTTGTCCACAACCCTGCCCATAGACCCAGAAGCGCCATTTCAGCTCCAGCTTAGGACTTCTGGTGTGCCCCTAACTCCTGGAGAGACCTCAGACCTGGGTTATAGGTAGCTTGTGTTCTTTAGATGTACTTTATTACCTGTCTTCTGCTTTGTCTTTGTTTTCTAGGTTGATTTTGGACCTGTGTTGTAACCTTATTTCCTTCTCCTTTTGTTCCTGGCTTGGGAGCCTATGTGATCTCTGGACCTAGCTCATCATTTTGCCTTCTCTGGGACTATTGGAGAGCCCTGTTACCAGACTACCAGTAAGTAGTGTGATCTATGTACTGTGTTCAGATGTGGGACTGTGCCTTGGTCAGCACAGGCACTGCCTGCACTGAGTCATCCTCGGCCTGTGGCTTTCCCTCCCTTAGGGGAGCAGCTGGTCCTTACTTCTTCTTGGCACAAGGTAAATCCTTCCAACTCATTAAAATCAACTGGGTTGTGGTTGATAATGTGCATTTATCCAAAAGTGAGGTGACTGAGCAGGGGTATTTGACCTCTGAAATTTGACAAAGAAAGCTGGAAAGAAAAGATAAAAGGGTTGAAATAATAGTTGGCTTGGATTCCTATATGATAAATAACATTTAATAAGTGTCAGGGAAAACATCCTCAAATTTTATCCATCTAAGTTCCTCATACAGGTGTGGGCTAGGTGAGGCAAATTGCAAGAAAGCAGTAAACTTTCACAGTTGTTTTTTTTAGTGAACTGTTTCCTGGCTCCAGGGATAGAAACCATAATGGCAACTAGATATAATGAGTAGGAACTCACTGAAGAGGAGGGATTTGTTGAGTCTTGTCTTGAAACTTTCTTAATGGGATGAAATTAGCAGAATTCCTTGAAACTGAAACAACTCCGTGACAGTTTTGCCAAATAACCCTCAAAACCAGCAAATACTCAACAAAGGGGGATGTTGCTGCGTAGCATGAAACCGTGGACCTGTTAGAAGTGGGACTAGAAAAAAAGCATAAAGGGGAATGAGAAACTCTTGTTCTAGAGCATTGCTAGAATTTTTTAAAAGAACAAAAAAACCAAAATAGATGTAATGGATGGGAGTAGCATAAACTGTTTTCTGAAGAACACTGAACTGCTTGGTAACCATCTGACCAAGTAACCCCATCATAGAAGAGAGAGTTATTGGAGGTTATTGAAAATCTATCAAGAAGTGTGAATGTTCACTGTCTCTGACTACTCATTGCAGTTTGTTTCTTTAGCAAGAGCTGAAACAGGTAGGATAATAAAGAATACAGTGTGGCATATGTCTCTGTATTTGTAGCATGGTATGATGATTGTGTTTCATAGTAGAAACATCCGGAACTGAAACATTAGTAATAATCTGTGATAAGGATATGGCAAAAAGCCTGAAATTAAGCCCAAATAAACCAGAGCTACTTCAAAAAGAAGTTGTCTTCTTTTGGCCTGTGGTCAAGGAAGAGGGAATTCCTGCTAGTGATGTCAACATATACTATATAGGGATTACTACTACTGTAAGAGTTCCCAGATGTGTGCAGTTTTACAGTTTTTAAAAATAGCTGCTTTTGTGCATGGAGGAGGAAATCCATTTGAATGTGACTTGACATTGCCACGGTTAAAAACAGCTGTGTTGGCCTCCTCGGGTTTCAAAACGGATTCTTGCATGCTTGAGCTTGTATGGTCTTGAAACAAACAAAAAGACTTACAAGATCAATGGCTTATACAGAAAATCTGAGCTTCATAAAAATAGAAGAAAATGCGTCACTGAGTGTTGGGTAAGTCTAAGGAGTATTTTCACTTTTTAGGACTATAAGGAATCTCTGTGACTTAAGACACTGTCTGTATTTGGCAGGTTGCTCAGAGAAGCTGTGGATCCCTCATCTCTGAAAGTGTTCAAGGCTGGGTTGGATGGGACTATGGCAGGAGGGTTGGAACTCGGTGATCTTTAAGGTCCCTTCCAACCCAAACCATTCTGTGAGATATGTTCTCAGTTTTGGGAGGCAATCTGTTCAAATTACAGTCCAGGGCATGTGTTGTCTCTTTAGATCCCAAGTCAGATACAATACTTAAAGATTTCTGAGATTCATTGAGACCATACAGTGTGACCCACCTATGTAGCTATGTGTGCTAGAAATGCTCCTGAATGGATCAAAAGTGACTCTTGGCATTTAAGAGTAGAGTGAGTGAATTAGGTTTTCCAATTAAAGTTCACGCAAACACAGATATCCTGGGGATAAGCCTATGGTCACAGAATGGACAATTTCATGACCATAGGATAGAACACTCCTAAGGAAAAATGGAAAATGTGTTACCATTGAACTTACTACTTCACTAAATGTAGTAATAAGATAGTTTTCTATAAAACCGAAGGATGATAAAGAAAGCCTAATCTCATATATAGCAGTCTTGGACTAGGACAAGAACTAGAAGGTATAGGGTTATTCAAGATTGTGTAGATGGTTGGCTCAGTCTGATGGAACTCTTGTATGACCATGATAAAAAGGAATAAGCAAAAGAAAATGTGAAGTCTTAATACGTGTTCAAAATAATGATTTAGTGGAAACAGAAGAGAGGTGATGTGACGTGATGGAGAAATTAATAATTCCCCAGTTTTGTCTGGGGAAACAGGAATCATCATCATGGCTAGATTTGGGAAGGGCTTTACCCACGTTTGTTACAAGCACGCTGGTGGCTAAAAAGGCCAATACGAGACAGGCACGTCCGGTTGCAAAAGGCACAGCAGAAAGACTCCTTAGGTGGTAAATTCTGCAAGGCACGATTCTTTCTGCGTTGTCTTTTCTCCTCGAGAGTCATCCTGCGTGCTTTCTCAAAAGCATCAGCAGCATTATAGATGGTGTGTCTCCAGACCTCCCGACTCGAGGCCAGAGTAGACCAGTTATGTTGATCAATATGGCCAAGGCTGAGATGTTGTTTCAGGGAGTCCTTGTATCTTCTCTTTGGGGCTCCTCTCATGTGGCAGCCAGTAGCAAGTTCACCATAAAGCAAGATCTTAGGGAGGCGGTGGTCCTTCATCCTTGAGACGTGCCCTGTCCAGCGCAGCTGCGTTCTCAGTAACATGGCCTCAATACTTGTGACTGCTGCTTGTTCTAGAACAGACGTATTAGTCACATAATCTGACCAGTGGATGTTTAGGATTGTACGGAGGCAGCGTTGATGGAAGTGTTCTAAGAGTCGCAGGTGGTGGCGGCAGATGACCCATGATTCAGACCCCTTTAAGAGAGTAGACAGCACAATGACTCTGTAAAAACTGATCTTTGTACTTTTCTTCAAGTGTTTATTTCGCCAAACTCTTTTATGAAGCTTTCCGAAGGCACTGTATGCCTTTGCTAACCTGTTGTCTATCTCTCTGTCAATCTTACCATCTGAGGAGATGATGCTACCTAGGTAATTAAACTGCTGGACTGATTTGAGCACTGATACGCCAATGGTGATATGGGGATGATGGAAGACTTCCTGAGGTACCAGTTGATGGAGAACTTCTGTCTTCTTTAAGCTGACTTCCAACCCAAAGAGCTCAGCAGCGTCTGCAAAGCAGGATGTTAAACGCTGCAGAGCTGCTTCTGTGTGGGTGGCAAGGGCGGTGTCATCAGCATAAAGCAGCTCCCGGACAAGATGGTTTTAAGTCTTGGTGTGGGCCTTCAATTGCCTTAGGTTGAAAAGGCTTCCATCAGTATGGTATCGAATGTAGATACCATTCTGATCATTGAGGTCTGCCGTGGCCCTTTGGAGCATCATGCTGAAAAAGATTGTGAATAGGGTTGGTGCAAGAACGCAGCCTTGTTTCACACCATTGGTTATTAGAAAGGGCTCAGAAAGTGCATTGCCATATCTGACTTGGCTGTGTTGATCCTCATGGAGTGAGATGATCATTTTAAGGAGCTTGAGGGGACAACCTAAGCATTCCAAAATCTGCCATAGACCTTTTCCGCTCACAGTATTGAAAGCCTTGGTGAGGTCGACAAAGGTTATATAGAGACCTTTGTTCTGTTCCCTACACTTCTCTTGCAGTTGTCTGAGAACAAACACCATGTCTGTGGTACTCCTATTGGCTCTGAAACCGCACTGACTTTCAGGAAGGATTCCTTCTGCTATAGCGGGTATTAGTCTGTTCAAGAGTATTCTTGCCAGGATTTTGCCAGCAATGGAGAACAGAGTGATACCATGGTAATTTAACAGTCTGATTTAATTCCTTTCTTCTTATATAAGGTGATGATGACTGCATCACAAAGGTCTGATGGTAGTTCGCCCAACAGCGCACCACAAACTCGTGAAATTTAGCATGGACTGCAAGGCCCCCATATTTCCAGACTTCGGGTGGAATTCCATCAACCCCAGCTGCCTTACCGATTTTCACCTGCTGTATGGCCTCAAGGGTTTCTCCTAAAGTGGGGGCAGTATCCAATTCATACTTCACTGGTTGTTGTGTGATAGACTGAATAGCTGAGTCCTGAACTACATGACTGGTACTGAAGAGAGTCTAAAAGTGTTCAGACCAACGATTCAGAATGGAGGTTTTATCTGTCAGAAGTGTTTGACCATCAGCGCTGAGTAGAGGACTTTGAGCTTGGTATGTAGGCCCATATGCTGTTTTCAGGGCTTCGTAGAATCCTCTGTGATCACCTGTGCCTGCTCATATTTGTGTTTTTTCAGCTAGATTGATCCACCACTTGTTCTGGATGTCACGGAGTTTCTGTTGGAGCTTGCTGCATGCAAGACGAAAGGCTGTTTTTCTTGCGTGACAGGAAGGCAGTGCAAGGTGTGCTTGGTGGGCGGTTCTCTTCTTCCTCAACAATTCCTGGATCTCTTGATTGTTTTCATCGAACCAGTCCTTGTTCTTCTTGAGGGAGAACCCTAAAAATTCTTCAGAGGACTGCAGGATGCTGTTTTTAATATGGTGCCAAAGTGTTTTAGGAGAGGTATCTGTAGAATCCATGGAATGGTTTTCGAGCCTAGTTTGAAGATTAGCCTGGAATTTGTTTCTCACTGGCTGATTGGAGATTGTTAACTTGGAGTCTTCTCCTTGGGATACTGCCCCTTTTAGGTTTGAATTTAAGATTAAATTTACAGCGCACCAGTCGATGGTGTGTTTGGCATTCTGCACTGGGCATCACGCGGGTATGGTGGACATCGCGGACATCTCTCCGTCACACCAAGACATAATCGATGAGGTGCCAATGCTTGGATCTGGGGTGCATCCAGGTTGTCTTCAGACTATTTTTCTGTTGAAAGATAGTGTTAGTGATGGTGAGCTGTTGTTCTGCACAGAATTCT